GTTGTGGGGACCATAGAGACGTGGCGGCGCTCCATAGGGAAACAGAGACCCCATAGGGAGCCATAGAGACCCCATAAGGACCATAGAGACCGCATAGGGAAACAGAGACTCCATAGGGCGCCATAGAGACCCCATAGGGAGCCACTGAGACCCCATAAGGACCATAGAGACCCCATAGGGAGCCACAGAGACCCCATAGGGATCAGAAAGACCCCATAAGGGCCATAGAGACCCCATAAGGACCACAGAGACCCCATAGGGAGCCACTCAGACCCCATAGGGACCATAGAGACCCCATAGGGAGCCATAGAGACTCATGGAATCGCATGGAGACCCCAAAGTTGCCCCATAGGGACCCATAGAGCCCTACAGTGACCCCAAAATGCCCCAGAGAGACCCCATAGTGCCTCACAGGGCCCCATAGACACCCTACAGTGGCCTCCAAGTGCCCCATAGGGACCCACTGAGACCCCACGGTGCCCCATAGGGACCCACAGAGACCCCAAAGTGCCCCATAGGGCCCCATAGAGACCCCAAAGAACCCTACAGTGACCTCTAAGTGCCCCATAGAGACCCCACAGTGCCCCATAGAACCCCACAGTGCCTCCAACTGCCCCATAGGGACCCACAGGGACCCCACAGTGCCCCATAGGGACCCATAGGAATCCCACAGTGCCCCATAGGGACCCACAGAGACCCCAAAGTGCCCCATAGAACCCTACAGTGACCTCCAAGTGCCCCATAGGGATCCCACAGTGCCCCGTAGGGCCCCATAGAGACTCATAGGGACCCCTAAGTGCCCCATAGAGACCCCAAAGTGCCTCACAGGGCCCCATAGACACCCTACAGTGACCTCCAAGTGCCCCATAGGGACCCCAAAGTGCCCCGTAGGGCCCCATAGAGACCCACAGGGACCCCTAAGTGCCCCATAGAACCCCACAGTGCCTCCAACTGCCCCATAGGGACCCACAGGGACCCCACAGTGCCCCATAGGGCCCCATAGAGACCCCACAGTGCCCCATAGGGCCCCATAGAGACCCCAAAGTGCCCCATAGAGACCCCATAGAGACTCATAGGGACCCCTAAGTGCCCCCATAGAGACCCCAAAGTGCCCCATAGAACCCCAGAGTGACCTCTAAACGCCCCATAGGGACCCATAGAGACCCCAAAGTGCCCCATAGAGACCCCAAAGTGCCTCCAACTGCCCCATAGGGACCCATAGAGACCCCAAAGTGCCCCATAGAGACCCCAAAGTGCCTCGAACTGCCCCATAGGGACCCACAGGGACCCCACAGTGCCCCATAGGGACCCACAGAGACCCCACAGTGCCCCATAGAGACCCCAAAGTGCCCCATAGAACCCTACAGTGACCTCCAAGTGCCCCATCGGGACCCTACAGTGCCCCATAGGGACCCATAGAGACCCCAAAGTGCCCCGTAAGGCCCCATAGAGACTCATACGGACCCCTAAGTGCCCCCATAGAGACCCCAAAGTGCCCCCCCCCATAAGCCCATACCGGCACAGCCCAGCCTGCCCCACAGCTGTGGGTCTCCCACAGGCAGCATCACGTGGGGGGGCCCCGGGGGTCTCCTTCAGCTCCTGCAGCCAGCAGCCACCTGGAAGGAGGGGGAGGGGGGAAACAGGTCACAGCGTGGGGTCACACGGAGGGTTCAAAGGTCAAAAGGTCAGCGGTTAAAAGTCAGGAGGGGGGGGGGGTCAAGGCTCACCTCCGGGTGGGGGTTGGGCTCCAGATGGGGGTTGGGTGTCATACGGGACTCCGCCCACCTGGGGGAGGAGCCAACGAGTGACCAATCGCAGGCGAGCTCCATTGGTCCTTAGAGAGGTCCTCCCAACCCGCAGGGGGCGCCAGAACCGCTCCTCCCACAGCCGCTCTATCCCTATGGGTCCCATTGGTCCTCCAGGCTCACCTCCCACCGCAAGGGGGCGCTGTAC